CAACTTTGTAAAAGAACGTTCCTGTGTGCTCTCATTCCACCTCAACAGTTATTTTTTGTTCCTCCCTCTACAGAAGTTTGCCATTTCTTATAACTTATTGTCTTGAGGCTGATGGGAGAGGTAAAAGTCTTCATTCTATATGATAGGAAAAGAAGCAAGGGGTTGAAAAACACTGGAAAAGTATTTCAACAGTAAGTTTAAGTAAGCCATTAAAGAGAACCTGTTGATTCTAACTTATTTGAAGTACGAAAAAGTGTCTTAACCAGCAGCTGTTAAGGATGGCATCAGTATAAGGCATCTGCTAGATGGGCTAAATGGCCTGTTAAGGCCCCCTCTAGAACAATTTTTTTGTGATCTTGCAATGGAGAGGAGCAAAGATCAGATTAAGCAATCTACAGGAAAGCTTCAAGAGCATCTGAGAAGCCTCTAATCTATCTTCCAGTTTCTCTTGTTGTTCTCTTTGAGTAAGGAATGTTAATTAAAATATCTTAAGGAATTTGGACATCAATTACAAACCTTTACAACAGCCAGCCTCAGGCACTTAACAAAAACATTTCACATTTTACGCTGTGCTTTATGCTTTTCACGGATTAAAGCACTTCTTAGACTATGTTCCCATTTCAGCATGTACCATATTTACTCTTATAATCACTAGCTAAAAGTGTTTTATTATCAACCACGTGTAGTTTAACATTTGGGAAGTAGAACAGCCTCCATTTCTACTCTGACAGGAAAATTTGGGGGCTACAGAGGAGCAACATTATTTCAAGCATGCAAAAACGACAAAACTGCTTGTGCCACACAACATATAGCAAAAGACCCCCGTTCTCTGCTAGTCCCTATCAGCAGCACTGCCACTAGGAAGAAGCCTTTCCTGATTAGAATCACTGAAGGAGGAACCAGGGCTCTTACATGAATGATGCCCAGGAACTTCTCCCCAGGATGCTGAAAAAATTTTGGTCTACACACAGATGTTAGCTTTTCTACTTGGAATGATAAAAACAGTATTAGTCTGCTGGGATTTAAACATCCAGTTGCCAAGTAGCAGACCGTAGAAGTCATGTCCAGATCCCTAAACTAGGCAATGCTGAAAGGCAGCTGTTACTACAAAGCTGATGAAAGGTCTTGAGAATAAAAAAAACAAATAAATACAGAAGAGATTTATTACTCCCCTTTATCTTCTTTCTCTTTTCCTTCATTTTATCTTCCTTCAGAAATACTCCAATATACAAAAAATATTGCTTATTTTTACTGGGTGCTACTGCTCATAAACACAGATTCAACTTTAAGAATGCATCTTATCAAGAAGAAAGTACTTCAGCAAGCAGACCATTTTCATCTTGTCCAAAAGGGAGAACTACTACAAAAACCTGATGGAGAAAACAACTTTTACCTCTTCTGCCCTGTTCACTTCCCCTGCAAAAAAACCCCAATAATCTCCCAGGACAAAGAACTAAGTACTGTAAACAATAATAAAAAAATTCACTTTTTCTCCAACCATCCCCCCCCAAACCATAAAACATGTCTTCCTGTTTGCTATCCTTGTACAGGCACAGACACTGATGCAATCTCTTCTCTCAGAAAAAGGAAACGGCTCTATCTCAGTCTGCATCTTTATCCCCCTCAGCAGCTTGACTAATCAGATTAAAAGAAGAGACAAGTGCACACTGAAGCAGAATTCAAGCAGCACAAAAAAAACAACTGCCAGTTCAACAGGAACTGGAAGTAAAGTGTGCTGCAACTGCTTAGAAATGAAAATAGGGTGTAAAAAAGCAAACACACCAGGTACCCTGAAGGCAGGTAACCTCCAGCACCGACAAGGATGCTAGAAGTTATGCAAAGGATCCAGCACCATCTCCAAGCTGTTGCCTGTCTTTCTCAGCTCTGTGAGAAGACCGAGAGATGACAGCTTCTCCATAGCACCCTGTCACCCCCACTAATTCCTTTCTCCTTGCCTTCCCCACCCCAAAAAAAGAACAGCTGCTGGCTTCTTCCATCACACCTACTGACAAGGTGAATCTGAAAGTTGGCAACTGCCAGCCCTTGATAAAGCATAATAAATCAAAGCAGGAACCCACTGTTTGTATTTGGGGATGAAAGGAAACTATTCAACCAATTAAAATATTCTACAAACAAGAGCAGATAAGAAAGGAACAGTGGTATTTATAACGAGAAAGTGCATTTCTAAACGAAAAAGAGTTTCTATTAATTCATTAAAATTATGTTTTCCATACATACCATTTTGAAACTCTATAAACTACTATTCTCATCTATTACTACACAAAACTAGACAAGCAGTTAAGGAAGAAAAAGCACAACATTCCTCGATACTTCTCTTGCTAGCCAGCCACCCTGATCATTTGAGAGATTTTCAGCTCTGCCTGTAAAATAACCAGTAAGATAGCAAACAAAAGGATAAAAATATTTTGTTGCTCATCCTTCTTATATGTCACAAAAGGAAAATAAGTATAGAAGACTTACAAAAGAAAGAAAAAAGAGATTATGTTATTGAAAAGCCAAAAAAGAGAAGAGTGCTGCATTCCAGTGAGTTGCTGTAAAAAGAGGACAAAACAAAGCTCCAAAATTTATGTTCTCTGGCTGGTTTCCTCCAGAGCATATGTAGGGACCCAGAACTTCACATCAACAAGGAAACAGATGAGTAGCAATAGCTCCTGTTAAGAATGCACTTTAGCACACACTGAAAAATACTGGAAAAGAACTGATAAACGAATAGGGTATATAATACATTTCCTTATCATGTAAATACTACCTACAAATGTTCACACAAAATTGTTACATTTAACTGTTTCCTAAAATTTCTTCAAACAAGGCAGACTCAGAAAATGATGATGGTTCTCCGCAGTCTACAAACCTAAACACAGTTCCCAGTTAAAGGCCACAGCAACCAGTTAAAAAATGATCACCAGTTTTGTGCATCAGCTTTAGCAAACTGAATATTTATGAGGTGGTGGATGAATATGCACAGGTGTGCTGAAGTAACAGCTTCATATATCATAGGCCACATTTGAAAACATAGCTTATCTATGAGTATTGGCTAAAAAACTTAACTGACTTGTAAGGACACACACAGAGAAAACCACAATAAGGACTTCAGCCTCATAAAGCTATTTTTAGCTTTGTAATTCAGAAGAACTACTTTGAAGTATAAAGCAAGTCAGACTTAAGGTAACAGTAAACCAGACTACTGGGGGAAGTTTACATTGCTGCAACCTTAGCCAAGGCTTCGAATGATGATAGAAACTAGAAAGAGGTACATTGCTTAGGGTACCAACTGCAGAAGCTGCTACATTGAGCTCCCTACAACACAATTCCTCAGTTATATGACCACCCTTCTGTTTTCTGCAACAGCTCCAGCACTGCTTAAAAAATGTTTTATCCTAGGGTCTGCAATAGTTTGCTTCCGGAAGCATTTGTAATAGTAATCTTTGCTCAGTCTGCCAGAGGAATACGCTTGTAGACTGACCAGTGGAGAACTCATCTTTTACATTACATGAACAAATTCAGAAGACATGAGAATTTCATCTGTAACACAAAGTGGTCTGTCACATAAACTCAGTTAATACTTTGCTTTGCAGCATCTAAATATTTATTTTTCTGCATTAAACATTCCAAGCTTGAGGCACACTAGAAGCTACTGAGCACACATTATTGAGTTCACAGGAACCCAGTGCATCACCTTTACAAGTCACTTTATAACAATCCAACTGCACTCCAAACTGCTCTCACATGTGCTGTAAACAATGGAAATGTTTTATGGGAGCACAGAAGATGAGAAGCACTGAGAATATGTGCCAACCTCATGGAGTCAACTTTAAGGCTTTTATAAGCCTCACAGTTATCTCATTATTTCTCAAATCTTAACTCTTGCAAAACTGGAATTCTCAGCTTGCTTTTGAAGCCATGCAGTATTTTCAGAAACACTCAGCACAAACCAGTTCTGCCAACAAATGAAACAGTCCTGCCTTGTATGCTGCTGCTCAGCAGCTCACTCCTGCCTCTGTGCCTCCCTCTCTTTCTACAGGGAGAAGCACTGAAGTGAATCACATTTAGGGGCAGATCCATTTTCGCTTTTAGCTGTGCAGAACTTGTGCATTCATGCCCCAATCCAGTTTACCTGGAGGTGCACAAATGTTCTCTCCAACACAAAGGGATGCAGAGGCTATAATCCACATCTGCTTCTTCCAGCAGCTGTACCAGCTTAAGAATTATTAACGAAATTATGGCCTGTATAACCAGATAGAGAAAGTTGGAGAACTTCTCTCCATTTCACCCTAAAGGCAAATACCATTTGGGAGACAATTAATTCTTTCCGTCCTCGGTTTTACTGAGGCGTGACTCCAGACTTTTCAGCATAACACTTAACATACTGCGAACCGCACTGGTTCCAGGTGCTTCAGTAATACAAACAATACCAACGGGGACAAAGAACCTGGTCCTGTACCCAAAACAGGCTGCAAGATATTTGCTCTCAGCTTCACAGAGAATTTAATTCAAGCAGAAGATAATTTAACTGAAAAATGCCCAGGGTACACAAGCATATCAAGACCTCATCTTCATACTCAGCATATACCACATGTCAATCCACATTTACATTGCATCAACACTGGTCAGACACTTAAGAACCTCTGTGTAAATACCAAATGCTGCAGCTCTCTGCCAAAGCAAACTTGCAGACAAATGTAATTTAAAGTTTTGAGAGTTTTTGTAATAACTTTTAAAATCATAGTAATGTGTGCAGCTCTTTGTCTCAGGTACCAGTTACCTACACACACTGGTTGTGAGCACGATACTGTCTTCAACCAATGGATCTGTTCCACTAACTCAGTAGCCGAGACCTATACTTCTGGATCCTGACGCAGAACAGACATTTGAAGCACCAGCACCCCCTCACCAATATGGAAATCATGTGTGATAACTATTATTTACTGTATAATATAGACAACAAGGAGAAAGCTGCATAGCGAGGCATTTTCACTTACGTGGTTTATATAGAGACTCTTGCGTTTTTCTCTCACTGCAAAAACACAAAATATGATAGAAATATTACATGACTATTTTTCCCGAGTAAGCTTCTTATATACCATTCATAATAAAAAGAACAGGAAACTATCTATGTGCAACATTATAATGGCTTTTGCACTAACCAAGTGTATTTATATATCAAAAACAGAAGGCACATATATCTGTATGCAGAAAAGCATTTGCGCTCAGTAGAGTGGTGATGGATTAAAATTCCCATCCATTTGGGTACTTCACCAGGTGTTGGTCTGCATGGGAAAGTTAATATGCAATAAGCTGCTGTCCAAGCGAGCAATGGGTTAGCCATCCTTCACCAGTTCTCTGTGTGGGTGGGTACTCCTGAGCCACCAGTGCCTTCCTGCAAGGCACCTTGCTGCAAAGTGGCCTACACCACCTTGCAGGTATGGAAGCACCTAAAGAGCTATGCTACAGAGTGAGCAAAGTCTCATCATAGCTTACTGTGCACTAACTCCCAAAGAGGAGCCTTGAAACTATATACATTATACCACTGCCTTCTATAACGATCAGGTTCAAGCCTGAAACTATTACTTATGTCGGATGTGACAACAAAAATATATTACTTTGGCATGTATGAATGAGCCACAACAAGCAAAGGGATGCAAGTCAAAGCCACAATTAGTCAAAATATTCAGAAAGTAAACAGCAACAACAAGGAAGATAGATGTATAGAGTCTCAATTGTCAGGCAAATGTTTATTACAGCTGATGAAATATACTCTTTAATTTTTTAAAGCATTTTCCCAATTAACTCACCCCATAGAGAGCCTGTGGAGCTCTGTTCCAGTGAAAATACCACAGCATTTAGGATACAAGTCTGGAGGCAACTAACACATAAATCAAACTGCAGGGTTAAAATAATAATGGTTTCATGCTGTAGGTGATTAAATGCACCTTGGTGCACCATGATATAAAAGCTATGCAACCCAATGCACTTAGCAAAATAAGAGTGCTTATAATGGTGGGACAGCCTGTCCATTCCCTGTTGGATGAGAAGCCATTATTTGTGATTTTTTATAAGCAAGCAATCTCAAATAAACAAGGCTGCATGTGTGAATACTAATAAATAATTGTGTTCAATGCAGACATAAAATGAAAAGAAAATAAGAAAAAACTTTTAAAAATCCTTACATAATTTTCCTCCCAGGGAGCAGAAAGGAGAATCACACATGACAGATGTTAGCCATGTCACTTAGCACATGCTCAGATCCACAAATATGGACATTGTACAAGAAACAGAATTAAACAGGAACAGCAGGAAAATTCTGATTGTCAAGTAAATAAACTTCTTAAAACCCTGCTAAAACAGTGACCTACATTTAAATTCCACACACTGCTTTTATCACCAGCAAGGACATAAGCAATCTAAAGAGAACAACAAAATGCTGATAGATACTCACTTCTAAGAACAGCCAAAAGATTTGTCTAGTATTGAATACTGCAATGTAGAGGCAGTAAACAATTCTGCTAAGCTGCATTTAAACTTAGTTAAGTATAAAAATGAAAATTAACATCTATTAACTGCAAAACTGTGAACACAGTTCAGTATTTAACTGTTTTAATCAAAATTATACCACATACCAAGTTCTCATGGACAAATACCTTATAAAGACAGCCTGCATAAGCACTACAAATTCTGTTTTCATCACATTTTTCCCCCCTACCTTGGTTTTTCTCTTCTGCATTTTCCCTTGTATCCATAATATTATTCAATTCACCATGAAAGTACAATAATCTATTTATCAAAGCAGGAATTTCACTCACAGCTCATTGCCATTTGCTATTTCCAATCTGCAGAAGAATATATTAATGTATTTATACACACCCACTCCCTTCCCCCTCCTCAAGCACTACTTGTGCTGCACATTCTTCTAAGCACCACGTTGACCTCCTTTTTCTCATTTTCCCCATGTAACAGAAATTCAGTTAGCCTGGATTCTCCCATGAGGGACAAGGCAGCAGCTCTGTTTCTTGCTTCTGGCCCACTCAGCCCTAGCATAAGGCCCTACTCTTTCTAGAACATATTCCAATAGGGAACTGGGCAAGGCAGAAACCCATATTGTCACCACTTTTGTGATCTCAGCCCTCCCTTTAAACAAGGGAAAGACAATTATTGCACAAGGCAAAAGGCCACTTCTGACAAGCTAAAATGACTGTAAAGAGGTAACTCCATCACTTCAGTCCTTTAAAAGACTTTTTGCAGTGCTCACCCAGAACAGTATGGTCTTCAGCAGACCAGACCACAGTGTTATAACTAACCGTAATTCTGTAGCATAAACAACAAAACTAACTGCAACTGCAGCTCCAGGCTTTTGGCTTTCAAGCATGGGATTTTGATGAAATGAAGCTGAACAGATTTAGTCAGTTTAAACAATTAAGCTTCTACTTTCTCTCTAACATTTTGAAACTTTAAAGTTGGAATGGAACTCTTCAACCAGAAACTGAGATGCTGCCAAATTTGTCTTAGTTTTCTTCAGTTTAAGGGCAATGACCTGTTCCTATTTCTGCTGGCACTTTCAATTGTTACTGTTGAGCTTTTGAAGTAGTAGGAAAATACATTATCCTGAAAGGAAAGAATAAGAAAACACACATACACACATACATACATGAGTGTATATATGTTTATGTATTCTTCATTGAGCTGTAATAGAAACTTTATTTATGCAATTTCTATAGACTACCTTAATGTTACCCATCTTAGGATCAAAGACAAAAATCCTTGAGGATTACATTGTAAAAATGTCTCAGATTCTGGGAGTTTGTAAATAATTTCTTTTTGTTTTATGAGACAGGAGACTAGTCACAGTTAACAAAGAGTAAGCACAGCTTACTTAACTTCTATTTACTACTTATTACAGTTTCAAAATCCTTGTTGTCTGAAGCCCATTGTTACATTGATACTGCAAAATTTTGCCAGTACATTGAAAGTGTAAAGCATAATGTAAGTTAGAAGAGCTGGACAACTGTAACCCACTTTCAGAAAAGACCATTACCAGCACCCTAATGTGGCAACCGTTGCCCTCCTGCTCTTACAAGGAAAGGAAGTTACATTATTGGAGTGCTAATGTTTGGAAACCCTGGCTTAACCACAACCACACACTAAATAGTGCACAGCTTTTCAGTCACCTAAATCCCCCTGCTTACAGGCCAAACTCAGCAAACGGGAGAATTTGCTTAAAGCACTCACAGAAGGTAGACATGAAAGATTATACTCTTTATTAGCTCCCTAAACAGGGAGAATTACTAATACAAGATTGAGCAGCTAGAAAATTCCCACAAAGAGTTGGAAACATTTAGAAAAGCTACTTCCATTAGGAATTGAATTAATATTTGTGTCTTCAACTTTTCTACAGATGTGCTGAACTCTCAGGTAGTTAAGGATGCATTCAGCCTACCTACTAAGAGGGACAGAACAGATTTAGATGCTTAGCATGGCATTCAGTCTTCACAGGACAATGGAACCATCAGACCATGTAATATCCAGTGATTCCATGTCCTGCCTCATTGTATTTGGGGTAATCAGCTCATTGCTCTTCATTCACACATTGATCACAAGCCGCTCAAGCACAGCTCCTATGCCAGGACAGTGCTACAAGATTACCAGTGAGGCTGAAAAACTACAGGGCTACTGGAAAGCCAAATGTGGAACTGCCTGAAAGTAACATCGCTAAGTCACTTTAACACATAGTGATGGACTTGGTTCTCTCCTGCTTTTAGAAACACAAGGTGAACACTCAAGAGTGACAGCCAAATTCTGGATGAAAACTTGAGTCTTGATGTATCTCAGCTCTCCAGTATGTATATTTTAAATTTCTTCAGTTCTAGTCTATAGAAATATTTTTATTCACAGTCAACAAGAAGGTTTGCTAGCCCAACACTATACAGGTAATGGAGAGAGGCAGCTACACACCCCAGTTCGGTGTTTTCAACATTGCCAGCTGAGCTTTCCCCCTCCCACACTGAATTAAGAAGTACTGGGAGTCCCCTAGGCTCCACAGGAGGTTGTCAGAATGCAACCTTATGCAACCTTATTTTCCCCTTAACAAGCATTTTATTGCATTTTGGTGTTAGGCAACATCCTTGAATAGTGTGAGAACTCCTACAGTTCACTTGGTCCCACAAAGTACAGACAAGCAAAACCGTTACTACTGTGACTTGTCCCACCAGAATGGGATAGTTCTTGGCAATACATCAACAGATATATGTTTCCAGAATCTTTTTTCCTCTGTACAAACAAAACAGGCTTCAGATTTGTTCCACCATGATCACAGAGAAGTGAACAGATCTTACACTCCTGTTAATAATGTCTCTATATTGTTTCACTAAATTCATTGTTCTCACTCAAAAATATGTTCTTCATATTACTTTAATTAGCATGAAGTTTCATAGATCAACTCTAGTATAAGTGTAAACTATCATTAAATAAAATACTTATAATTAACTACATACTGTAATAATTTAACAGCTATTACTACAAGTAAGAATTATTATCAGGCCCGGTCAAAATTTTAGTGTTTGGACTGGGGCTTTTGTTTTGTTTGGGGTTTTTTTTGTAAGAAGCTGTTAACAAGAAACATATAGTATCTGTATGGGATTATACAGTATCAAAAAACTATTTAAAAACCCTATAAACCAGACATATCTTCATAATCAATCAACAATACAGTGTACTATGGCAATATTACCATATTAATTTTATAGACTACCAAATCAGATTAGAATGATAAATCGCGGAATAAGGCATTGACAGAACCAGGGCTGAATTCAGAAGGACAATCTGAAGGGCGAAAGAGGCACTTACATAATCACTATTCAATTAGGGACTAAATGTATATCCTCTTTGTTCTAGTCATGCTCAAAAATTAGTAAAAAATACACAGTAAGTGAAAACTACATTATTTTTACGTGATGTGTTTGACACTGTATTTTACTATGTAAATAAAAAATGGTACCTATAAGCAGCAGAAAGGAGGACAAAGAATTAATACAGAACAGTCAGAATTACCACACAGAAACTACTTTGAAAGTCTTGGCATAAAATGATGTGCTTTGCATTGATTATTCATCTACTTCTAAAACAACATGTCATACATGTCCGACAGAGAATGAAAAAGGCAAAGTAAATGGCCTCTATTCTACTAACTCTATCAAGAGGCTTGCTTAATAGATGTAATTCCAGAGGGATCATTTTGTTTATTAATAAAAAAAAAATTACAATATCCAAATACATGATTATATAAAATTCATAATGAGAGAAGAACAAAGGATGTTTGGGTGGGTTGTTTTGTTATTAAAATCTAGTACTGAGCTCATTTACAATATCAGCTATATTGGAGGAAACTGTCTTCTCAAACTAATATAAACAGGCATTTTCTCAAGCATACATTCCTCACACATTTCCCAGAAGTTGGCTCAATGTTCAGAGTTTTAAAAAAACTACCAGTTTCACATAGTATTTTGGATTTACCTATATTTGTAGTTCTGATCCAGTGACTATTTGCAACTTACAATTTCAGGACATGATAGGACTCAAACCTGCACTTTCTACTACAGTTCTGACAAAGTAATTAACTAAAGGTGTCACTTCTTTCAACTTTAACATGCTGCCTATAAAAGCTCCTTTTTTTTGTGAGGGGAATTATATATTAAAATACTACCACATGCATTCTAATAAAGGGTTTAGAGATAACTACAATATCAAATACTGTAATAAATTCAGTAACCTACCATCTGTTTGTGATTTACTGAGAAATATTGTACTGGCCCGTGGATGATCTGATGGGTTGAATTCCATGTTCAAATCTGGAAACAAAGAAATAAAGGATAGCATGAAAACATTTATGATTATCCAATAGCATACACAGATTTTCTCATTATTTTTAATAGATCAAGTTCATATACTTAAGCAGCTGTTGTAAAACAAAATCCATCTTGATGCCCACTTTTTTATCCTTCTTCTCAAGTGGCTTATTTTGGCACACAAATCTTTTGCACCTACACATCTCTGGGATTAGACAGATTAATAGCAGATAATAACAGCAGATTAAGGGCTGCTTTTGGATTAAAACAGATAAAGCAGCTTGAGAATTTTGTGCACAAGAAGTCCGGAATTATCCATTTACCACCAGTTTCTTCCTATCATGCCCCAAAGCCATTGCTAAGCACAGGAGCATGGCCTGTTATATGTAATTATAGAAGAATTAAGTCTTATAAAACAAATACACGACCATCTGCAGATAGATGGATTTGCAAGATTAGATGTTATTAAAGCATACAGTTGTTGCAGCTGAATGTAAATAAGTCTAGGGCCAGAATGTTTTAAATGGTCAAGATACAGAAATTTGGTACTTTCTTGATACTTCACAAATTAATTTTGTTGTGACAACTTCTTAAAAAAAAAGTCCTTAAAAATATTTACCAGGTTAAAGATTTCAATCTATTTGAATCTATCACAGCTTATACAAGTTTCTGTGAATGTTATTTTCTCTATTGAGGTTAAAATCCATTGAATTTATTTGTTCCCAAATTCCACTCCACTAGTCAAAACTCTTCTATGTCTGCATTCACTTGAAAGCACACAGCCACTGACAGAGAAAGAAAATCGTAAAAATCTGTCTCAACCTTAGTTCCTGACACTCCCTTAATATGTAGATACACATTCTCTAGCATGTGATGCAGGCATTTCTGCGAGAATACATATGAGCTGATACATTGTGACTATCCCAGGCCTCTACATTTCGCTCACTTCCATTCCATATTTCTGTCACAGATCAGCAAAACTGGAAATTAAGACCCAGGTCTTAGGAAAACAAAACATTCTTTTTGCCCAGAGGTCCAGTTCTTCTGTCCACAGCATCTCCTGTCCAACACCATACTCCCTTCTCCCTTTCCCTTTACTAATTTACTACGTCTTCCACTTCCCTGCTTTTTTCTCCTGACCACACACATCTCTTCAACTGTACTTTCTATTTGTGTTCTTTGCCTTTACGGTCTCTTGGTGTCCTTTCCATGTCCCTGCATTCTGCAGCCCATGAAGTGAACAGCCTGACATCCTGCTGGTACCTGGACATAACTCCCAGAATAAACATCATCTTTCTACTCACCAGGAAGAACTGAGAAACCCAAAAGAGCAATTCCTTGTTGAAAAGGAGGCTTACTGTTTTTATTATAAAAAACCACAAAGAAAAAGAAATACAGGGATTTCAAGGTAAAGCTATTTTTATTTCCCCAGAAATTACAGTTTGCAGCCAAGCTTGGAGAAGATTCTAGGAAGGTCATCTTACTACTCAGAGTTCTGACATGAAAGAACTGTGAATTAGAAAGAATCTTTTTCTGTTATATTCTGCATCTTGTTTAGACAGAGAGAAGAAAAAAAAATAAATCATCCATTGAGATAGATAGTACTGTTAAAATTGTTTTTCATTTCAGGACAGTTTTTCCATTAAGCTGAATTCAGAATGCAATTCATTAAGTAAAGGGCAACCAGAATTTCAAAATGGCAAAAGATGTTGTCTTTTATTATCCTCTTCATCTTTTATTAAACAGCACAATACATCACCATAAACAAAAAATGCAAATTTTTTAAAACCACTACAGATAATTTTTCTGCAAATCTTTTAAAGTACAGCAGTGCAAATTCAGTTAACAGAATAGGATCAGCAACATTACACTGAATTCAGCTGACAAAACCCTTCCCCTAAACAGACAAGCATACCTTTCCTTCAGGCCTAGAAAATTATCTGCTTGAGGAGTAGTGACAACCTAGTACATCCTTACAGTCTGCTTGCAGGGTTGAAAAGAACAGAAAACCAATTGCCACATCTTGCACTCATGTTGCAACTATTTAAGATTCCTGTGTTATGAAAAGCTATTATGCAGAAGCAGTAAACCAACAGAGGACTTAAAACTCTCTGAAAAAAAACATGAACTACCAAAAAGCACTGGCTCTTGGATAAACTGTTGTTCATCAGACAGGAACTGAAAGAAGGCCAGTAATATCCAACCTCAGCAGCTGCAAAGGCAAGACCAGCAATTTTGAACCATCTTGGGAGAAGCAGCTACCTACTCCCAGGCAGTGGCCCTTTCTACCGCTGAACCTCACAAAGCACCACACATCCTCTTCTCTCCACATCCCTTCTCTCACATCCTCCCCAGCAACAGCAGCCATCAAACACATCCATCTGTCTTTCTCTAACCGCCTGCAAGAAAATAAGAGGAGAAAATGGGCACAGGGAGCAGGAAAGCCTGCCAGTGTAGGTCACCCAGCACAAGGTAGCCAGAAGAAGACAAGTGCTGCTAAGAGGTGATGGGTCCCCACCTCCGTTTGAGGAAAAGCAGAGGGTCTCATGGTCAGAAGAAGGTGCTGTTTGTGTACCTGCTCCCAGGTACAGACCACTCCCAGCTCTGTCAGGGAAATACATTAGGCAAATAAGAGCATTCCACAGGCCACCCGTGGGACCATGCTACTCCATGCCACCACTGCTGACATACAGGACCATTAGAATGGATGAAGCATCACAATACGTAAGATTTCAGTCTCTGGTTGATCTTAGATGTCTTAATTTATTGTACAACTTGAAAACAAAAGTCTTTTTCAATTTGGCAAAGAATTCTTACAAATCTGTCATCAACAAATGAAACTGTGTTACAGAAGAAAGAAATCAAATTATAGACACCTATCTGAAACTAGTAACTCATCACCAAAGGGCAATGTCCATCAAAATATTACTTCCATCCTAAAGAAAATTATATATTCATACATCTTTAGTATTATCTGCAGTTCTTTCTACTATTTGAAAAGTGTCATAAAAAATAGCCACAATAGGAAAGATTTACTCATTTTATAATAGAATAATCAAAGACAGAGATTTAAGTTCACAGAAGCAACACACTGTTACTCTAAAGAAAGAACATTTAAACATTTAAAGTGGGTACTTTTTCTATTAGTTACCCTGCACCCCAAAATTAGCTTTTAAGAAAAAGTTACTGTCTCATAAACAGTCTAAAAAAAACCAAAAAACTTTCTCTGTAGATTTTCTTTCCAGTTAAACAGATGTGCATATTTAAATCAAATGTAATTTTTTGTTCGGTAAAGCAAAGCCAGCCTCAGTTATACTTCAGCTAAGAGATCATGTGTCTAACAGAATTCACAGTTTCAGAGGATTTGGGCAAGACCAAACTTACAAATACATATAAATATACCTTGGACTGCATTCTCTTCCTTGTTTAGCAGTCTGCCAAAATATCAGTGATTATAAGGGGCATTCTGATTTATCACACTGAAATAAATTCACTGTCTCTCCAAGGAAAAAGAAGTTTTTGCATATAACTTAATTTGGTACATAACTGCATTGAAGTTTAAGACAAACACCAGAAGATGATAATCACATGAGATTCACCCTGTACACAATGAGAAACCTAGTTCCTACAGCCACAGTAGCTGCCTTCAATTATGGTCATAAAAAAAAACAAACAAGCTGTAAAACAGTTTGGTTACAGACTTGGGCTAAAGCCCAGGCAAGATTTTAAATCTCAAAACATGATCTTAAAAAGCATTACTGAGACCAAAAATATAGAATACAAGCTCAATTTGCACTTTTTTAAAGGATAAGAAAAAAGTTCAGGTGAGTGTAGAAGAACATTACAGGAATCACTGGAGGACTGCAGAAAGTGCCTTCAAATTAGACTCTGAGTTCAAACTGTTTAGCTCATGAAAAAGGAAGCTATTAGGCACCTGCAGTTCACATGTACCTTCACAGGGGGGAAAGAAAAAGCATTGACAGCTCTCTCTAATCTAGCACATAACCAAACCAGTGGCAAATGAAAGCAGAATAACCTTAATTATAAATTTGGATGAAAAAAGGGAAGGATAATTAGGCTCTGATGCTCCATACACAAGGAACTAAATTTGTTTTGATGTTTGTCCCTTTCTAGGAGACTGTTTCAGCCAAACATCTTTAAGCTTTAATCCAACGTGAGCATTTAGGCTCAATTTAAGAATAAATACATGCAAATTACTGGCTTATAATTCATATGCAAGTCAGAACAGATGATCCCACGAGCTTTAAGAATAAGTTCTATAAAATCTTCAGAAATAGCAATATCCAAATTATTAAACACAAAACCTCAGCAAATCGCAGTGGCACATCTATAAACTTTCTAAAATCGCACCAAACTCTGCTGTAATTCTTCAGAAAGAGCCACATTTTAAGATTTGTCAGAATACTTTAAGCAAGATAAAAATAGAAAAGGACGAAACTAAATCTTTCATGGCAAAATTTTAAGTAAAAAAAAAAGTGTCTTCAACTCATGAGCCTACTGAGACAGCAATACACAGCATGAGAGGATGAAGGATGGGTGCTGTAGTAACTAACTTCTGAGCAACAGGCACCAAAGCTTCTGCTGTGACACAAACAGGAAAAACCAACACAGTCGCTGCTTTTATAACAGTGCACGTGGGCTGCAGCGCAGGGAGCAGATCTGATTCTATCAGAAAAATAAGATGTTATTTCCTTCCTTTTGAACAATGAAAGTTGGATGAGTTTTCACTGCCAAAGCTCTGATGCGGATTCAAGAAAGCACTGAAGTCTAAAATGAGTAACACACTTGTAGCAGACTTAAACAGTTCTGAAATAATCTGGTGAAATTACTTTCCTTCCTTCCCCTTACCTCTGGAACCACAGGCTATCACCACCACTGCACAACCTCTCCTATCATTAAGGAAAGAGACAGTGTCACATACTTGTTTCATGACTCTGATACACTTCAAAATGAGATTAGTCCATGTTTCTTCTTCCCTGAAG